GCTCGGGAGTTGCCATTAGGAGGTTGGGTTTGAATAGTTGCATTGCTTCCAACGACGAGTAGTAGCTGCTTGTACTGCCACACTGAGCACTCGGTTCTGGAGGCTAGCGGGATCCGAAGCACAGTGCACCGCTGGCCGACCGTGGGCAGTTGAGGGCCCAAGTAGCGGGGAAGCCATGAAAGACTGTCCTGCCACCCAACGAAAAATCCCGGAATATACGGATTCCGAAGAGGGCGATCTACTGGGGATCTTCTTGTGTATGCCTCTCACTTATGGAGCGAGACTGTAGAAGAGCGTGGCGAAGCCATTGCAGTGTCTTTAGACATTTCTAAGGCCTTTGACAGGGTCTGGCACGCAAGCCTTTTAAGCAAGCTTCCCTCTTGTGGGATTCCCACTGACCTTTGCGACTGGATTTCGAATTTCTTGAGTGAACGTTCGATTCGAGTGGTCTTAGAAGACTACTCTTCCGAATATCGGGCGAAAGATGCCGAGTTCCTCAGGGTTCTGTACTATCTGCAACACTCTTTCTGTTGCATATAAACGATATGTTGATTCCAGGTACCTTTGGCTATGCTGATGACAGCACAGTTGTGGAAAGGTACTTGGGCAATGCAATGGTCAATGGAAAAGAAATCCAGTCTTGTCGAGAGGCCATGGTTAGTCGTTTGAATTTGACACTTAAGGCAGTCTCCGATTGGTCAACTTTAATGCTACGAAAACGCAAGTCTTTTCTCCACTAAATGGGGTCCCTTTCACCTGGCTCTGACTTTTCGTGATATATCCATACCGATAGCCGACCGTCTTCACCTACTTGGAACGGATCTGTCGTCCAGTCTGAATTTCAGCAGTTACTCAGAATCCATCGCACACTCTCCGTGATATATCCTGTAAAATATCGATAAGCAGGCAACTTTACGGCGGTGTTCAAGTCTCTGCAGCTTCGCCTCTACTAGTTCCGAGTTATCTATAAGCCTCTTGGCATGGTTGTCATTTGAATCCAAAGTGCACAATTGATGTGTAGCAGAGCCATCTACGACCGGACTTGTGCTTGGTACACCTGAAGCAACTGTCCCGGTGTAAAGTAACACCACACCCTGGAAAAGATCCCAAACTTCCTTTCTGCATTTTTGGCCATGGATTGAATGTATCTGCCGAAGTTCAAATTGGACGACAGGTCCATTTCAAGTAGCTGGAGATAGTCGGCTATCGGTATGTATATATCACGAAAATCGTGTCAGTATAATATCGGAGTCAGCTCAAAGGTACTCCGTTTTGTGGAGTATAGACACGCCTGCGTTTTGGTAGCATTAAATTTGACAAGATTGGTACTGTCCCAATCGGCGACTGCCTGGAGTGTCAAATCTAAACGGCGAACCATAGTCTCTCGACAAGACTGGATTTTTTCTCCACTGACCCTTGCATTGGTCAAGTACCTATCTACAACTGTGCTGTCATTAGCATACGCCAAGGTACCTGGAATTAACATATCATTGACATGCAGCAGAAAGAGAGTTGCAGACAGTACGGAACCCTGAGGAACTCCATATCTCTATCTATCGCCATATGTACGGAAGAGTAGCCTTCTAAGACCACTCGAATCGAGCGTTCGCTCAAGAAATCCGAGATTCAATTGCAAAGGTCAGTGGGAAGCCTATAAGAGGGAAGCTTACTTAAAAGGCTTGCGTGCCAGACCCTGTCAGACGTTAGAAATGTCCAAAGACACTGCAAGAGCTTCGCCTTGTTTTTCTACAGCCTCGCTCCATATGTCACAGGCATACACAAGAAGATCCCCAGTAGATCGCCCTCGATCCAATGTTGCCATTATATGGCAACATTGGTTAGTTGTTTATAATTTGTTACAAGAAGCCTCTTGATGGGAATGTTGACCAGTGCTGTCAGTTTTGTATTGAGAGAAACTGGATGGCTGTTTGTACTATTGAAAAGGGTGGTAATAAATGCTCCGAAGAGTAAATAAAAAATTTAATTATTGAAATTACGAATAGTACCGCGTTATTTACTAAGCTACCGGAATATTTTGTGCAAATAAAAATACGCAAACAACCTAATGAAATACTGAAAGTTCGGAAATATCCTACTGTTGAATACTACTCTACCAACTTAATTCATATGTTACCGAAAACTTTAGCCATTTTTTTCGTAAATCACCTATTATAAATATAAAAGCGACTTTATGTTTCATAAATTTTGTTGCCTCTTAAATTGTCATATTGAAATACTATTAGTGACAACGTAGGAAATACATACATCATCATAATTGTGATATGAACAAGTTCTTGATTGTTTCCAAAAAAATATGATTCATTTTGTCGGTATATTCTGTGTTTATTTTTCAGTAACTAACTCATATTAACGCCGCTTGGTTACTATTACAGTTAGCCACAGTTAGCCAATTTCGATTGCTTTTTTGGAACCTTTATTACCTATTTCCCCAGTGAAAAAAACCCATTTAAAGAAAATATACTTAGTATTGTTTCTATATAGTTCTACGTTTCTAGCAGTTATTTTCATTTCAAATTATAAATGCATAATTGTAAGATGTCAGTGATACTCTGGTTGCGGGATACCTACACACACTAGTTGCGGCAGACACACGAAGTCGCGGGACGATTCCCGATGCGACCCGTTTGGAAAGTGAACTTTTCAAAATTGTGTCCGACCTTGATGTTCTGTGTAGTACCGTAGTATAACGAAACAAGTATGGCAACTTCATACAAAGGTAGGAGCGCACACATTCGCATAAAATCACGGTGTACTCTATCTACGCGCTGTTTATTATAGAATTGAAGCGGTCCCTTGGTGTGTAAAAAAATATATCAAACAGTGAACGTGCTTTATTGATTTTTTGTGACAAGAGTGTTTCAAATTCAGATTTGTTTATTTTTACTCCGTAATCACACTCCATAACCAAGGTACCTTTCCGCTATGCTAATATAAATACGAAAGTACTGCACTATCGTGTCAAACCAAAGCACTGCAAGCCTGTTTTTAATTACAGTGTTTTATAATTTCACAACAATAACAATATTTCGGCTGTTATCAAGGGAAAATATGTTTATTTGTTTTTCGACAGAAATAGCTCATTTTCCAAAGTAAAATCATAATGGCTAGATATAGATTTCTTTAATATGTAATGTACGATGTAAATTCAATGTATCTTTTAATGTTATTAATCTCAAAAAACCGAAAAATCCTTTACACAGGTGTTTCTCAAAATGCTGTTATTGCTATTACGTATAGTGTTTTAGTTTGACATGTAGGTACAATGTAACAACCTTACGCTCTGAAGCAAGTGTAGGCCACAAACTAATAAGATATTGGTGTAGGCGTTTAACAGGCAGGAGTTGCCCTACTTCCTCTTATTATACTATGGTAATACCTCATATAATATAATACTATAGTAGTAGAAGTTAGTTTAAATTCATTGATGCTCATAGCACAGAGAATTCATTTATTCATGCATTTATACACATAATACAACTTACACTAACAGTAACTACAACTAAACATTATACGTCATAGTCAATATAGAGTTGAGTCAATCACCACCCAAAAGCAAGCTGCAAAATTTCGATCACAGACTAGCTTCGGTGATCGCTTCCAAGTAATAAACACCCAATGTTAAAAATATCGATTGAGGGTTACTGAAAACGTCAGTATCATTAATACCATTTAAAATAGAGTTGCCACGAATATTTGACTACTATTCGGTATTCGGCCTATTTGGCCACTTTTTTAATATTCGGTATTCGGCCGAATACCTTTCAACTTTTCTCCACATCCTCATCATTTTGCATATTATCTGTAGCGACTCCTTCAAAACAGGTCCAGAAACTGTCGCGTATTGATTCCATCGTTTTGTCATTTTTCAACCCCCGTTACTTCCGCAGGCATCGCAACGAGAAAGGTCGTAACAGGTCGCGCGTGAAATGGACAGATCTTAAGCCGAACATTCGGCTCTTCGGCCGAGAGCGTAGCAAAATATTCGATATTCGGCCAAATCACTACATAAACAATATTTAAAAAGTAATTACAACATTTGAAAATGGAACTCTTTGGCCGTAGAATACAGTATGTTTTATCTGACTGTCACTTGTTTTTACATTGTGGAGTCATTTTAGAAATTGGTTGTCTACATCACCATGGATTTAACTCGTGTATGATTTCGTAGTATAATTTTCTACGACTTTAAGTGTAATTTGACAGCATTTATAGTATTTTTTTCTTATTTATTCCGGAAACTTATAGTGCGCCACACGTAATCGTGGCCTTTTTTTAAATAAAATCAGCATCTCTAATTTAAAGATTCTAACAAGACTAGAGCCTCGTAGAATGGTATCCGCCTTAGTGCCTCCGTGTGAATTAGGTGTATGTAGAACGAACAGAGGGTGTCGACACTGGCATAGAACGTACCGTGGTGGGAATGAATGAGAATTTCCCGGCTTGAGTTCAGACAATTGGTGAAATTGTCTAGTGCACTATTATCATTATTGTTATGTTTTGTTGACATTTATATAAATATAAATTCATTGATTCCTTATAAATTTTAACTATTGATAAAGTAATTGCCAATTAGTTTGTCTGTGTTAAATGAGTTAGTCAAAGGGCTTGTTTACAGGATTGATGTGGTATTTATCGAACAAGTTCAGTGACAATAGACTGTTCTGTAAATTTTAATTAAAGCAATTAACAGTATACAGTTCAAACGTTACGATTCATTGAACATGTTTACTCCGTTGTCGCATCAGACATAGCAGTGGACTTTGACCTCGTGAAAAGTGTGAAAAAGGGCCAGTGGGACGTATTATTTATTAAAATTATTAGGTGTAGTAAAAAAAACACATTTTTTAAGTTACAGACACATATTTAATATACCGTCGAGCACATGGTACGTAGTTAGGGAGATGCCACACGGGACCACATGGCGTCGTCGCAACTGCGTTGATTTCAACGGCCTGAGTGCCACACGAACTGTTCCGTCCGTACCACATGTTGTATGCAATAGAAAGCATGTTAAACATGTGCCAATATATTGTTCGAAACTACTGACTATACGTCTTTTCATTGCTGACTAATTCAACAGCTGCATAAATGAACATATAAAATCACGGAATTAGCAGTTGGCTTGGACGGTATAATGCCAATTGGCCTGCAACAGGTCTTTGTTACCGATGAGGGCTTGTTCGATGGATGACTGTACTGTTTCGGACAGCTGCTTCGTCTTGCTCAGAATCCAGCCCCAAACTGCACAAAAAAATACACGAAAACATTAAACTTTTTCGTCAATTATAGTTCTAGTTAAGTTTATTGATTTTTCATTATCATGATATTCAATTATTTTTGGTGACATTACTCCACTTGTATGTAGACTGGATTCGAACCGACGTCGTCTAGCAAACCGTGTCTGACGCTATGCCAACTAAGTCACGAACCGACCTTGCCGAACCGACTTTACGAATTTTTCTACGTGCTTGTTGCAAATTTTCGTTTTGGATTTTTAACGTTTCTTTCTTTCAACAATTTTACAAACAACGAAAAGTTTTATATGCAACTTTATTATAAGTAGCAGTACAACTCCTTGTGAAAGAGGTCGTCCTAATTATTATTATAATAAAAAAACCGACCTCAAGAGTTTGCTTATCGGTTTTTTTAATGGAATTACATCTATTTGCCAAGTTTTATAGAAATCAGTTATCGGAAAGTGCGTGAAACCGGATTCATACCCTAGTTTTCCATCCTTAGAGGTGTAACATTTTCAACTAGTATTATAATATACTAGTTGATAATATACAACACTCTCTCTTTATCCACAGCGATCTCAGACCAATCACTCAAGATCTCTTACTAAATATAAAAGTACCTTAATTATGCAGCTCATTGTGAAAGAGTTCGTCTGAAAAAATACTGCCACTAAACCTATATTTGTTGCCAAGCAGTAATGACTGCGAAATATAGGTTACTGCGCATTACCGTGTTTCGGTTTTGAAGGGTTAAGGGTACTGGTGAAATTACAGGCACATGGGACTTGTCAACTTACGTCTCAGGATGGGGGGCGAAGTGGCAGTGCCCCTCAGATCTTTGCGATTTAAAGCTTTGAACAGCACTGCGACAGTCATGGACAGGCGCGTAGCTTACCATCAGGCGCACGACTTGATCGTCCCGTCACTTGGTATTATAAACAAAAATCATTGTCACCATCAACCCATTCATTCTTCCCACAGTTGCAATGCGGGTTGGGGACTTCACAGGTTTTCCGAAGGTTGTGAACCTTCTCCGACGTGCTGGTTTCATGATCTTTTCCTTCACCATAAAACTCATGGCAAAGTTCAAATTAAATTCATTTTTTTATCTTTATTTATTTAAGGATTTTGATCGTCAGCCCCATTAGCAAAACGGTACATCAAGAAAACACTTAATAAAATCCAGACTGATCAAAATGCTACCTAACCAAACATGTTTAAGAATCTCCGAGGCACTACATGCTGGCTCAACAAAACAGATTGAAACTACCCAACATTTAATGTGTGGAAACCAGCCTGTGCAAATAACTGCGCCCTGATAGGTTCCATCCGAACACACTCCACGAGCAAATGATGTACATCCTCAGGAATCCCACACACTTCGCAATTCGGTGAGTTCACCCTCCGCATCAAATACAAAAATTTGTTTAATGGAACGTGTCCGGATCGAAACCTATGCGCGCTGACAATTTGACCCCTGCTTAACTTAACATGGTCAAACCAAGGGACACGAGGAGGCTCACTTGCATGGTCTTGTACCAGATTCCTTTTTCCTGGGACTTCATATCAAAATGTTCCTTCCAACGAGAATGGAACTTACTTATATAGCTTGCAACCACTTTTGAGAAGTCAGGCACAATGTCAACTTCAGGCCCCTCTGAAGCAGCCGCAGTGGCTAACCGGTCCGGTTCCTCATTCCCTAGCAAGTCATTGCAACCTCAAGCATCATCTCAACCCACCAGCGTAACATTATTTGTTTGTTGTAAAATTTTGTAAGCCAATGAAACACACCGTTTGCCATAAGTAGACCGAGCTATATGTTGAATGGCACTTTTATTACCAGTCATGATTACCACGTTTTGACAAATTAATGTCTCCACATACGACAACGCCTCAGATATTGCATATAACTCTGCCGACATTATTGTTATGCTAGACGTAATTTTAAAACCTGCCCTCTTATTATTAAGTGGGTCAAAAAGTTGCCCCTATATTATCACCGCACTTAGAGTCATAAGTAAATATTTTAAACCAACCCGAATACTTTTCTAGCAATTCTAATTACATTCATGAGAAGAATATCACTATTATAAATATGTTTAGCATGAGAAATACAATCCAACGTATAGGATAGTACATTATCTAACTCAATTTTTGACATCCATATACTTAAACATAGGCAAAGGATATGAAGAGACAATGTGCTCATCGGTAACTTCCTCGCTTACTGCACCCAAACACGGCTTTTTTTCGTATTCCAGTAGCTACGCCGACAATGGGTTTCTAACTCACGAATCGTATCGCACTGCTATTACAATAGTGTTGTAACTCAAAATATGTGAAATTTAATATTATATCGTTACTGAACGTAAAATTTGATTCTCCACACTTCAAAAAAAGATATCTACTTAACTCAAAAAGAGACACACTTTATGTGAGCTAGTTCTGGCCAAAATAATCCTAATTAAAAAACATAAAATTACTTTTTCCATTTTATTTTAAAAATACATTTGAGAAATTGTTTATGTGTCTATAATAAACTATAACATATAAATTTTAATGATTTTTTTGCGGGAAGTGAGTAATTCGTTTTTCTCTTTTTGAGTTAATACACTATTGTATTAACAGTGCGATATACTAACTGTTAAATTATTGCCAAAGGAATGTGCTTTTAAGTAAAACTTAGTTTCCAAAAATTGCCTTCTGGTATATAACGGCTGTATACAAAGTTCGCTCTCCATTACATGAAATAGAGTCAACGATGTTCAAATTCTTCTGCATAATTTTTTTATGAGTTTCTCGGTCGGCTATACATTTCTTTAATTCGTAGTAGAATGGATTTTGCTTGTTATTTTCAGCATAAACACGTCCATTTTAGCACTTGTTTGTCATATAAATAACAAACATAATCCATTCTACTACGAATTAAAGAAATGTATAGCCGACCGAGAAACCCATAAAAAAATAATGTAGAAGTATTTGAACATCGTTGACTCTATTTCGTTTTTAATAAACATAAGTGAAATTTTGTTAATATTAGCGGCGATCTTATTATTCTTTGACATTGATAGGTAATATTAAATTTGATTTGAAATTTATATATTTATGAGTTTCTTCGGGCTTAATTAATACAACACAGCCTTTATTTTTGTAAGCAACACCGAACTTACACGGAAATAGTAACGTTTAATTGTATACCTTTCTGAGGTTCAGCAAACAATTAAGTGTTTTATTTTGCTGGTAGTTTTGCGAGTCATTTGGAAAGTTATTAGGTATTTTGATTTATACCAAGTTTTTCCTGTACAAATTCGCCCAAAAGAAGTGTTATAACGCCTTCTGGCGGCAATGTAAAAAATCCTTGCTTCGGCGGCACCCGCCGCTACTCCCCGCTAGTAAGAAGAAAGCGACCCCATATGGCGCGTGTAATTGTTCTATCGCTATGATTCCGTTCGTAATCATGTTTTTCCTGTAATTAATGGTGTTTATAAGTAAATAACGTTGTAATGACCCTAATGTCTTAATTTCCTTTTCTAATTAATGTGGCTTAGAAAAAGAAATTAAGACATCAGGAAAGCTGTTTCAGAAACACCCATCGCGGTATTTTGTAGTGGACAATCATCATCGTGATCAACTCATTATACTTCCACTGTTGAGCACCGGACTCCTCTAAGACAAGTGTTGGGAACTTTATACGCCCAATTTCCTCACCATATTTCGTGCTAGTATTCGGCACATCTTTGCAGCTGTAAATCAATATGTAGTTCCTCTTGTCCGTCGCCAGCGCGTAGTTGGTGTATTTGAGTTCACCTGGAAGCAACGTTGTATTTATTACGCTGTATTTATTGTAAATATTCTGCAAGAAAATCACTGTTGAACAAGGGTTTGTCGAAAGATAAGGTGTATTATATTGCCTAAAGACCTGTAGACTGGTCACGCTACATGCGAAGTGAGTGGTACGGGACACTGGTATATGGGACATTATTGGGCCTTATTTGGTGAAATTACAGGCTCCAGGGACTTGTCAACTTAATTCGCATGGTGACGGGCGCAGTGGCGGTGCCCCTCAGATCTTTGCGATTTAAAGCTCTGAGTGGCACTGCAACTGTTATGGACAGGCGTGCTTGATATGATTGATGATATGATGATGCAGCTTTTGTTCGGTATTTTACTTTTATTGTGGTGGTGCAGAACACGAAAGATTTTACATTTTAACATAGCAATAACTCAAAAAGGCTCGCTGATCTCAAACCGCGCAAATGCGCAGGTTGTAAGTGGTATTGTGATAGAGTAAAACACAGGATATTCTATTACACAAAAACGTTTTATAGCCACAGCAACATCGTAACATAACTCACGATATTTCTTTTGAACACCGCTTGTTATGTCTTCGCAATTCGCTGGGTGTCTCTTTTTATATCCCAGTTATAATACAATACGTAACACTTTTCGAGACTTCGTATGTTTTCACGACACAATCACACGTTAAGAACAACTCTATGTTACTAAAGCAGACAACACTGTTTATCTACTCGATTTAAAAAAGTCGGCGATCCGTTAATAGCGAAATACTGTATAGTTGAAAAAAAGTATCAACTCGTCTGAGTCCTTTTGCTGGCCATGGACAACAATCTCGTATGACAGGGTATCAGCTTTACGCAATGGGTCTTCTTTAACCCCAATTACCAACAGTAGCGCTCCTTCTAAAAGATTTCGTCCAAGGAAATGATGCCACGATACCACGATTTCTGCTGCAAACATTGACTTACAAATAAATGGACGACGGGTCTAATACAAAAACCACGAAAAAAATGTCCCAAGTCAACCTATTTAAACGTAGTGACATGTAAAGGATATGAAAAAGCTAAAACGTTGAATTTAAATTGTAATGTCATCGCAGTACTGTCTAATTTTGCTTGCTTCGCTGTCAGTCGAACAAACGAAGACTAAAGCGTGAATGACGCTCTGTATACGATTTTAACACCCTATAAGTTCGGACACTTTTTAGCGCGGACCCGACGTCCATATAATTGTAAGTCAATACTGCAAAGCAGTAATTTGAGCAGCAGTATAGCTGCTGGTGAAAGTACAGACAAATGGGATTTTTCAACCTCATGTCTCGGGGTGATGGACGCAGTGGCAGTGCTGCTCAAATTTTGCGATTTAAAGCTGCCATGGACAGACGTGTTGCTTACCACCGGGCACACGAAATGGTCATTTGGACCGCAATCTAAATTCCGAATGATGTAAAGATTAGGAACACAGTACATTGGACTAATCTATAATGTTGCAGCAACTTACAATATATGATTAAATTTGATTTTTTAAATATCTACTATAGTACATACATACGGTAGTCTATCTTACATTGACGTCCTTAAACGAGCAAAGCTCAATGTGTGTACCTCGACACTTACCGTAGTCAAAAACATAGGTATATTTGTCAATCTTCTTAATCGAACCAGACCAGGTCCTAACAGTCCCATTACTCAGGACCTCCCGGTTAGATACCGTACCGGTGGTGGTGATCGCGAAGCCAAGAGTGGTAGTGGAGCAATCCCCGTACTCGTCGGCGTTGATAACGCGGGCATATTGGTAGTAGGTACCTAGTATCTGATTAAAAAAATAAAGACTAATACAATAGAAATTAACCGACACGTCCTAAACAAAATACAACTAAACCCTCCGCGTTTGGACTCCGAATAATATGTATAGTAACTGATAATGGGAGTTTATCGAGAAATGCAGAAGAGGTTCATCTTTAAAAAATATTCGAACTGAACGTATACGGAGATAATAGACCGTAACTAACAAAAAAATATTGTTACTACAACAATAAAAGTATATGGGCTGAGAGGAGTTTAGTTCCCAATAACAAAGTTTTTATTATAATTGTTAATACAAAGATTGAACACAAAGAAAAATTCCTTAGACCCGAGCGAACTTGAACCTGCGACCACGTGGTACCGTCCAGTTGCTCTTTCAACTGAGCTACAGGTCGATTTAGCAGGTCGAAGAAATTTTTCTATCTGTTATATCTTTGTATTGACTTTTTTCTGGCTTTCAATGTCATTTTTATTGAAACGCAAAGTTTTTATTGTCAAGCCTAACTTTGTCGCTGCAACACCACTTGAGATGCTCCAAAAAGGGGAGAAAACCTATGAAATTGTAGATAGGACGTTGATGCAACGATATTTTTTCTGAGTATATCATCTAAGCTATAGTTCATCGCTTCCGAACAATCATTAGCTTAAAACGAACACTTACCCCAGCAACGTCTATATTTTCTTGAGCCTGTTCCGGCTTCACGCATTTGCCGGAAACAATTGACTGACTTGCAGCGCTACTAACGAGAACAAAAACCAAAAATATGCGATGCATTTTTTACAACCCTTTTCTTATAAGAAATTAAAGGGCTTATTGTCAAAAATCTCAATTGCAAATGCGCCTGTTTCGCTAAGAAATTTAGAATCAGTGAATAAATAAAGGTCGCGGCATTAAATAGAACTTCGTTATCTCTCGAGAACTAATTATTTATCATATGCCTTTGTAAAGTAGTTACGGACTCTTATGATTGTTGTTTGTTTGTTCCAATTTTATGTTTTAAGAGGTTTTTTCAATAGCGTACCGGATGTATGCACTTGACATCAATTATTATTCTTGAGTTGTTTCTATCCAGAGAAAGATATAGACTACGATAATGGCCGTAGTGATACATACAGAGAAAGGTATCTGAGGTGATTTGGGCATATGACTCCGATGAAAGTCTACTTTAATTCACCCTCGAGATGAAATCGAGAATGTTCTTAAAAATAAGACTAGGAGGACTTGTAACTAAAAGGTCGATTGCAAGTGAAGTCCAATCAGAATCTAATGCGCATGATTATTACGTGTGTAAGTTGCTGTACCCTTTTCCACTTTCAGTTGTGGTTGCGGTTGGTCACACTAGACAACATTACTTATAATGTTAATAAGTTCAACTTTCGAAACAATATGCACAACTTTAGGTCGAAATCGAGGATGTATGAAAACATTTGTTTGGAATAAAACTATTAAAGATCTCGTAATAAGTAAACACTTATTACGAGATCTTTACAATTTTTAAAATTGGGCCACATTAAATTTAAAAGTATTTGCGTGTAGAGTGATCTCGTCTAACTATTATCATCATCAACCTATTGCACGTCCGACGGCTGAGCACGGGTCTCTTCTCATATTGACATTGGGTTAATGGGTTTGGGGTTTGGGGATTTAACACGTTTTCCAAGGATTATTATTACTAGAACCAGCTTAAGGTACTCGCCGATTATCGCTCAGGGTGTGCCAGATATACAAGAAAGGAACGGTACGTCACGCGGGGAGACTCCTCTCGTGGGGTGCACATAGGTAATGAAACTATTTTTTGGGTTCTAAATGGTATAGATATGTTTGTTTTTCACCCGTCAACAGTCGGGTAAAGACCAGCCATATTGCCTTATGTGTTACAGACAAGATCGAAAAAGTCCTCAACTGTGCGTCTATCTATACCTATTTCAAGCCACTGAGGAAGGTTTTTCAGTTCCTGAGACTCGCGGAATCTCCTTACAGAATGCAGGAGCTTATAAGCTTGACTGCGAGTGCAACCTCTCTTATTGGACAAACGAAGCGAAGAATTTGTACGCGCGTCAAAGAACATATAGCTGATTTCAAACAGCGTCGCGTAAAAAGTATGCAGTCTGCGACCACATCATGGATAAACTTACACATTCAATTAAGTTCGACAAACCCCAGATTCTCGCAAAACAAGTCCGTTTTCTACTCAGGATGCTGCAGGAGACCATCGAAATTAAAAACATCCTAATTTCAACAAGAAAGAGGGTTTCTCCGTTACACCAGTTTGGGATCCAGTATTTCCTCTGATGAATAAATCTCGAATAAACATAAGATAACAATATAACCTAATGTTTTAATTTGACTGTATTAATTAATAATAAATTTAATTTAATAACAATTCTGTTATTTTGGTATTTAAGTAACAAATTTTGGAACAATAGTAAAAAATAGGGTGATTTGCAATTAAATATTAATTAGACATAACTGGTTGATGACTGTACCATCTCAGTCAGCCGTGACCATGGGACATGTAAAGCGCCCGAAACGTTGTTTTGTTTAAAAAAAACAACTAGATCCGAAAAAATAGTTTCATTTCCTATTAAATATGTAAGTATCACCTAAATAAAAGAACGCAATAATGAATACCCATTTATTACATCTAGTTACAAACGGCCAATTTTTTAATACTGCTCATGTGCAACAATAGTATTCAAAATTTCCAACTTCCACTGACAAAAAGCAAGTCGATCAACATATTGCGCATGACATACACAAAGTCGATTTAACAGTTTTGGTTGGTGTGATGCCAATTCGCCTCTAGTCCCATATCGGGGTTTTCCGCGAGAACTTGCCTGAAGGCATTCGCTGCTCTGTCGGACAGTCTCTTCGTTCTGCTCAACACCCATCCCACAACTGTACATGAAAGTAACAAATAAATAAATAAAGCAATAATAAATAAATAAATAATTTTGTCAACACATTAGAGAACTAAATGATAACGTGCATTTTTTTTAACACCTTACCTTTTTCTGCCACCAAACAGTTATGTAAGCATTACTCTGTTCCAGTTTCGAAGGGTAAGAGTGCTGGTGACATTACAGGCACATGGGACTAAGTTGACAAACTTATGTCTTAGGGTGACTGGCGCAGTGGCAGTGCCCATAAGATCTTTGCGATTTAAAGCTCTGAATGGCACTGCAACTGTTATGAGTAGGTGTGTCGCTTACCACCTTGACTTATTCGTCCCCATCGAGTATATAACAAGAAATAGAGACGAAATAAGGGCCATGTATTCCTGGTAACTCATCAGCGATATAACACTTATAAACATCAACTCTCGTGTGCACTGAAATATAGAAGCGCCAACAAGTGACCTGTGTGTGGTACGTCTCCTTATATTCCAAAAATATTCTGTATTTGTTGTATTAAAGATAATTTCTCTAACAATGGCTTGCTGTTTCATTCGGTGGTGTGGGGACAGAACAGAATAGGAACAGCAAAACATCTAATTATAAAACAAACGGAAACAATTTTCATCGGTAATTAAATATTAAATATGTATATAATATTTTGCAATTTTCATCCATTATAGCAAAGCTCAATTTAACTGGTCGATTTGAAGTGAAACAATTGACGACACCCGTCAATTGTTTCGAACTCGGGCTAGCCAATCGGAGCGCAGTTGTCACAGCAATGATATGGCAGAATAGTTTTCAAACAAATTGAATGACATTTCGTCTCTATTTCTGGTTATATACTCGATGTTCGTCGCATTACTTGCTATTATATAAAAATAAAAAAATTAAATAAAAAAACTTGACCGCCAAAATGTATCAGAGTCCATACAAAATTAATCAAATTAACAAATAATAATGTAATAATGAATCTTCAATCTCATTCAATCTCCTTCCGCATCTCATTACTTATATATTTCTTGTGTATTATATACATATAGATGTTTATAGATTGTGTATATGAATCATTGACTTACAAATAAATGGACGACGGGTCTAATACAAAAACCACGAAAAAAATGTCCCAAGTCAACCTATTCGAAATTTAAATTGTTATGTCATCGCAGTATCGCGCTGTCCGTAGAACAAATGAAGACTAAAGCGGAGTGTCGCGCTCTGTATACGATTTTAGCGCCTTACAAGTGCGGACACTTTTTAGCGCGGACCCGACGTCCATGTAATTGAAAGTCAATGATATGAATATAATATACTCATGGACATATTTAGAGTTACATTTCCACATTCATGTGTATTTCCTGAATGCTATAACTTGGGCGTTTTCAAGGCAATAGTGACTAGGCATTATTTAGGTGTGCGTGTACCATTATCGACCTCATCGCCAATTTCAATCAAGTGAGATGGTGATCAAATGCACACTTATATTTTGAAAACAGAGGAACGCAACAAAAACGTCGAATTATGATAACAATATTCATATGAAACACTGGCCACATAGTGTACCAGAACGTTTCATCGAAATCAAAAGATGATTGAAGTTATTCGGCCAGTGCTTCATTATGAACATGGTTATCATGATTCAGCCTTATTTTATTTATTCAGCCTCTAAATATATTATGTTCTTGAGCGAGTCAGTCATGTCTTATTATGTTACATATTGTATGTAAGTTTATGTGTGTAAATTATGAATCATTCAACAAAGTTATTTGTTTCGGCTTAGTATAGAAAACCTAGATTTGATACATAATGAGCATAGTGCAGCATTTGATGTATATTCGAGCTCATTAAACTTACTTATGTTTACGTCGTTTTCCATTTATAATTAATTATAATTCTAATATTATTATTAAAATTTTCAATTTAAATATAATGAAATCTATGTAAAATGTCAATTTGTTCTCGACGTAATGACTCGAAGCGACAACATATACAAACACACACACGCGCGCGAGAGCGCGCGCGCGCATTTACTTTTGTTATTTTTTATGTTTTTCTCTTTTCATTTCATTTTGTTACTAAAAACCGCATAAATATTCTATTACTCGTATTTATTGCTTTACTTCCAGCGAGAGAGGCGTAGCCTAAAGCGAGGACAAATAAATAAAAAATAAATGAATAATTCTCTCACCCTTTTTCATGTTGCTATTGGGTATATTCTCGCAACTATATAGAATTAAATGACTCCTGCCGTCCATCGCCATCACGTAGGAGGAGAATTTTACATTGCCTGAAAAAGACCATGTCACTCTGCTGTCAATACAGCGCCGAGCGCTTTTGTCACAGACATCAACACACTATGTGAGGTATTGCCGTCAAAGCCTACTATAGAAACAGCTTTTAATTAGTCGATAATGCAGTTGAGATCGAACTCTTAATTGTTATTAGAGAGCTCAATCTCCAGCACAGACCTTAAAGGTGACTTGTGTCACCTTCACAAGACCTCGAGTGTTGAGAACCGTTCAGTGGCAGTAGAGCTCCCTATACGGGAGTTGTCAACTTTATATACCATAAAAAAAATCAAGTCACATGCAATTCCCGTCTACATATGGTTGAACGTTAAGGCTCAATTCACACTGGCGCAGAGTCGAAGCGTCGCGACGCGTCATGTTTTTCGCCTATAGCGTAGTAATCTCTATTTTCCCATAATTATGGTACAAATTTGTGTTATGCAAATATGGAATCGCATCGATGCGCCTTAGGCGCGTTCCTTGCGTGCTTTGGGGCGTAAGACTCCGACCGCACTGTGGTCCGGGCGCGCTAATGCGAGCGGCGTCGCGCGTTGTAGTTGAAAAATAGGACGCGACGCGACGCTTCCATTCTGCGCCAGTATGAGTTGAGCCTAACGCAAGCAGAAAACTTCTTACTTTCTTAATTAACTACATTAGTATAGTGCGTAAATGAAGAAAGTCATAAGTTTTCTTTCTTTTCGCAATTAGTTGCGAAATAATGATCTGTTTCTTTTATATTATTTTTAATCAATCTTTATAGGAAACTAAGCTATTTTTCCGGAACCAAATCGCGTATATTTGTTTCTTTTTTCAAACAAACCAACGTTTCGGAAATTTTAGTTGTAATGGTCACGGCTGATTGGTTCATTCATCAACCAGTTACGTGCAGTTACGGTATTGAAATTAAGAAACAACCTAATTTCAACAGGGAAGATGGTTTCTCCGTACCATCAGTTTGGGATCCGGTATTTCCTCTAATGAAAAATCCCAAACAGACAAAAGACAGCAGTACTCATTTATATGTTTTAATTTATTCTAATTTTCATGATTAATTATTCATAAATAATTTTTATAAAATTCAAGATATTAAAGTAAAATCACTTGTAAAACGTATATGTAGCGTAAACTGGAATGTACTTTAGAAAATTTAAAAATAAGGTATTTAAAAAATACAAGTATAGTGACTAAAAGTAATGTTGAAATGCGATTGCAGACAGTAGTTCTCCAAACTATATTCTTATATAGTTCTCTGTACTGCCTGTGGGACTTAAGAAAACCTGGATGTCAGACTTTAGTATCATTTTTACTCACCATAGTCGAAAAGAACGTGAAAATCGTCGGTCTTGTATATCAAACCATTCCACCTTCGGATTTGGCCGTTAGGTAGTTTCTCCGCATTGGAGATGGTGCCGGCAGACTCGTCCCTCATACCCAGGACTACTGTGGTACAGTCTCCTTGCTCTTGGGGGTGCGGGATGCGTGCATATTCGTAAAAAACACCCATGAGCTGTGGTGAGAAATCATCTTATAAGCCTATTACTGTCAATTGGTAAACACATGACAGCTTTGCCATTATCACCGTATTTGGTAAACAAGTTTTATTGAAATGGGTTACCGGAAAGTGCGCGAATTCATACCCTGGTTTGCTGCCCTTAGAGATGGAACATTTTCTTCAATTGTGATGGGACCAACCAAGGACCAACACTCTTTCTAACAAAAAAAGAATCATCAAAATCGGTTCACAGATTATCGCGTAACATACAATCCGATTGAGAACCTCCTCCATTTTTTGAAGTCAGTTAAAAAAGAACTAAAAATGTTTACAGATGAAACATTAAAAAAGTAGCTAATCTTGTGAAGTCTGTCAAAAAATGTCACGTGAATTCTGTTTTATCTAAGCGGGACATTATTTTGGAGCTAGCGGGACACGAAGCAAAAGCGGGACTATCCCGATCAACGCGGGACTTATGGGTACGTTGTTTTTGTGAGCTATGCGCCTGTCCATAACAGTTGCAGTGCCACTCACGAGCTTTAAATCGCAAATATCGGGGCACTGTCACCCTAAGACATAACTTGACAAGTCCCATGTGCCTGTAATTTCACCACCTCCCTTACCCTTCAAAACCGGAACGCAGTAATGCTGACATTACTGCTTAGCGGCAGAAATAGGTAAGGTGGCAGTACTTCCCTGGACGAACTCTTTCACAATGGGCTCTACTGCTACCAAAATATATAACATACTCAAGATAAAATACACGAAAGGTAAAGCTAGTAGAACTATTGCCATTCTATTAACAGATTCAGTCTCGGAATTAGAGGTCGTGACAAAACCCACTATGGGTGTTTTTAAACCGACTAGAAATCGCATTAAAGATTCAATTGATGGATTTTGCTTCTACACCTCCACCAAATATATCCTTAATTCCCTTTCAACATCACGTTAGAGATGATATACTCTACATAATGTAACAAAAATATCCTGCCAAATTTGGAGTTGAAGATTGTATTTATAATGTTATCAAACAAGCAAAAACTACATCTTTTCTTCTTTAATATAGAAAATCATTGTGACTGACTCTATCTGTAGCTCAGTTGGTAAGTGGTAGCCTCGGTTTGGCAAACAGACGTTGGTTCGAGTGAAGGAATTTTTATTTGTGTTTGTTCGTTCTTATTATGTTAATATTCTATAATTCAACACTTTATTACTTTACACACACACGCGATACACACCTAGATATTTTACTTTGAGATATAAAAATTAAAAGAAAAACTTACTACAAGTTATGATTGAATAATTTTGGTTTTGAGATATAAAAATTAAATTATAAGTTAAAAATGTGCACATGTTACTATGGAAGAGCCGTGCGTTCTGATGCAGGCTTTATAAGGAGGTACCAGCCTCTGTTAATGTTAAGATGAATAAAGCAATATTTATATAATGAATAAAGATGTGGAGCAATTACACCAAAAAAGCCTACAGTGCCCTGCGAGTCCAATTCAACAATGCCCTAAGGGAACTGATGGGGTGGCCTCGATACTGTAGTGCCTCTGGGATGTTCACGGGGGCTAGAAACGACGGTTTTCAGGCCATCATTCGGAAAAGAGTGGCTTCCCTGCTGGCCAGAGTGAGGGGCAGTACCAACAGTCTTCTTCGAGTGATAGCAGAGAGGATGGACAGCCCAATCCTTAAACATTGGATGTCCATTCATGTAAATGAAAATGAAAATTTTGCATTATACTAACATAGTTATTTAAGTTCCTACTAACATTATATGGACATGTTCTGAAATAAATTCTTTCATTCATTCACTCATTAAAAGCATTTTTATTTTTGTTTTATTTTCACTGTTATTTTGTCTTTTTATCTTTCACAAAATATTTAATTAACACAATTGCACTGCCGTATAAATAAACTATTTATTTCGTTCTTAAAATCAATTATTTCAATTAAATTTTATTATCTTAAAGAACAACTTTTATTTATTATTACTTTATTTGGATTGGCTTATATACTTAAGAACTGCGTCTTACGAAATGTTGTTTTTTATTTATTAAGTGCAAACGTACGTGTAATCTGTTTAAAACAATTAACAAATCGAATTCATTTACGAACTAATACAAGTTTACCTCGTAGATTAAATAAATCTGCGACTCGGTAATCGCAAAGTCACTTACCCCCTCAATGTCGTGTCTGAACAGAGCAAGAGCTCTAGGCGGCTTGCTGCACACACCAGGAACTAGCGCCTGGCTTAAAACCCCATTTACCAAAACAAATAAAAAAAAGATACGATACATTTTGGAGTAATAGAATTTCTTTTATTTGGTCTGTTAAAAACGGCAAACTAATCTTTAGAAATAAATAACAGCAATCAAGTGACCAAATATATTAACTGCGTAAATCGTAAAACTTTCTATCGTGTAGTACGAGCACTTTAGCTTGTTGTTAATTTTCAATTTTCTATAATGAATTTTTCTTATAATGGTTTTTCATAATAACATGAAGGATTTGTACACTTAACATTACATATGGGTATGCCGCTGTATTCGAAATTTGATCCTAGTTGCACTTCCTGTATGGATTTCAACCACGGATAGAAAATACATAATTATACGGGTTATATTAAACAAGGTCAGTCTAATCACCAATTTAAACAATTATCTCTTCTTATTGGTACAATTGCGAGGTCACGTAATTAAAATCTGATTTCCAACACATCTTGGCTGAATAACTTCGTTGAACATTGTACGGGGCAATAATTTTATTGTTGTTTGTAATCACAATTTTCTTAATAGTCAGACAATTTAGATGCTAACTGTACCTAATGTTCTTCAAATCCCTTGTGATAGGAAATATAAAAATTATACACAAGATTTCATAACCTATAACATACACGCAATTACATAGATAACACAAAACCGTGTACAATTATGGGAAACATATTGTATAACCGGTAACATGCTACATATGAAAGCTACATAGGGAAATTAATATAAACATGCATACGAAATAAAAACATTGGCATTTAAGGACACAAAAGACTGTCGAAGCAAATAGCTAAACCCCCGCGAAGTCGTCAAGCCAAGTACAGACATGTAGAAATATAGAAATAACGTAAACTAAACTGGGCATAGGGAACCGAGATACCCGATAACGACGAGATCGATCGACATATTTATATTAGTCAAACAGTAATGTCGATTTAATAGTTAATATGTTGGTTGTGGAAACAATAAATTTTGTCATATTGTCACCGCTCTGCTGATAATCCTACTCAGGACAACCCGCATAAGTGCTAGGAGGCTTAAGCCCAGACAAAATGGAGTAATTTGCGCGTAGTCGAGATTATAAAAAATTTGTGTTGTGTTATATACGAAGTTTATGTTTAATTTGAATCCGTACAACTGTAGAACATTAATTACATTATAATTGTATGTCTGCAATGTTTTGTTTAGTGCTCCTCTAAATATGCTCATGGGTGTAGCTTGTTCGGTGTTTTGTTCAGCCAGTCAGTGGCGTCCGCAAATGCCAGCAGCCCGTTACATTACGTCACTTTTGCCACATCGATATAACCAGAAACAGAGATAAAATAAGCGCCATCCATCCTTGGCAACTCGTCAGGCCAATGGGCCTTACATCACTTTTGAAAATCAACTTTCGTTTCCTTTGAAATGACAAATTAGAAAGCTGAAATAGTGCAATGCCAACAACTGATCTGTATTTATTGTAATAAAGATAATATATCTAACTATGTATGTGGTGCTCTTCAATTACAAAACAAACTGAATCACGTTTCATCGGTAATTAAATATTAAATATGCAATTATTCAATTTTCGTCGATTTGAAGTGAAACAATTAATGACACCCTTCAATTGTTTCGAATTCGGGCAGGCCAATTGAAGCCCAGTCACCGTAATGATTTGGCAGAATAGTTTTCAAATAAATTTAATTAAATTTCGTCTCTATTTCTGGTATATACTCGTTTCGAATATATACTCGAATCTTTGCCACAATTAAAGTATATCGTCGTCTACTTACAACTTTAAAATTGCTAGTATGACATACACATCAAGCCATGTGAAAAGTAATTGTAAAATTATTATAATACGTAAAATTTCACTTCGTACATAAAAAAATATATATAATTTTAATTGGTTATAAAACGAAAATCATTAAATTAAAAACATTAAAATAATCAATGGATGTAATCAATATCACACACGGTCATATCGAGATAATTAATTTAAGTAAATAAATTCTTTATTTCCTTCACAATTGGCAACAACTGAAGGTGACTTAATAGTGGTTTATTACAGGATAATTTATAGATTCTGTAGCCTCAACTAGGACACCCTGTAATTAAATTTATTTTAATTATTTTTTGGGAAATGACTCCATAAGATCGAACACTTAGGAATATATCCATCGATCCGGCCGGATTCAAACCGACGTCTTCTAGCAAACCGCGACCTTACGAAGTTTTCATTGTGCTTGTAAGCGGATCTTTGTATTTTAGCACCATTACCCTTCAAAACCGGAACACAGTAATGCTGACATTACTGCTTGGTGGCAGAAATAGGTAAGGTGGCAGTATTTCCCTGGACGACTCTTTCACAAGGAGCTCTACCGCTTCTAAAAAATATAAACTAATCATTCATATTGTTCGTCACATAAAACGTATTGGTATTCTTTTTTACTTATGAAATCGCATACATATTATAAGTTATAGATATTATATATCACTATATATAACTTACATTATACTATTATAAGTTAAGAGTTTAACTTTCGTTCGATGTTTTAGTAAACACTTTAAGTAATTTATTTATTATGATTTTAATATTCCGCACAAGCTACGTAAGAAAGAATGGTGTAAAGGTTTATAAAACAAATGAAAACAACTTTAATATGGATGCTAAATAATACAAATAATGAGCATAACAAAGTGTGCGCTATGAAAGAAATGTATCCTTAACTCTTAGAGCATAAACCTTACATAGCTTGCTTACGTTGCATAGCTTGTTTATATGCGTCACAACAACGTCGCATTGTTTCCAGAAAATTGAGGCGATCCATTGCGCTTATTTTCCTCTTACTGGAATTTCTACGGCACTGGTTTCCAATTGGTCACTTAGCTTAAATACTATATATATATATATATATACTATTTAGGAACTAGACCACCACGTGTCGGCCCCAACACCGATGAAGGGACAAAGTGGAAAAAAACCTCCGCGCCTTCACGCAGAGAACTGGGAGAAGACCGCACAAGACAGGGCGCACTGGCGTCAACTCGTATCGGAGGCCAAGATCCACTTCGGGTCGCTGAGCCAACGGAATAAATAAGTAAATAATACATAGAAGACAGACGATCACCGATCCTCTCACTAAATCTCAAACATTCACCACATACATTGGGGTGCACGAAGGAGGCTCGATTCATTACTTGGACGTCTGGCGCGCCCTGGGCAACAATCGTCGAGCACTTTACGCCAATTGGCAAATCCATTCACCACGATGGCACAAATTACAGCGTTTGCCATCGATGCGATAAGAAGAAGACCACATAGATCTACTCGCAAAGACACCTCAGTCTAGTGCAATACGTGAATCGCATTAAATACTGCAG